GTACTGCAACTTTTCAACCTAATTAAATAAGTACGTGTTTAAAGGCATGCCCCAGGATCACATTGGTGTGGCTCTTGCACACGAATGCGAATGTATTGGTGCGAAGTGGGCCGGCAGTAAAGAAAAAGGAAAAGAATCCGTCGAAAACGCTCAGGTTAAGGGCTCACTCACCTTCCTAATCGGCTGTGCTAAGGGAATGAGAGACTAAGCGCGGAGAGGAGAGTATGAGGCGAGAGAGCGCTACAGATGAGAGAGCGCCAGACAACAGCCTGATAAGAGAAAAATCTGCAGCTTCAGCAGCTTACTTTGCAAGGCCCAAGCGCTCTTGTCGGTTGGTTTCCGTGCACGGGAACGCCACATTTGTGATTGTCCTCTAGGGGTCTATACTACAGACCGAAGGGAAGCGTTCACACGACCTCTGCCTGGGTTGTGCCTTTAAGAATTACAATGCCATTTCTTATTGTGTGGTGGTTTCCCTGCTGTCATTTATAAAGTCCTTCGATCGAATCCTTTAGGGTTTTATCCCATCCCCCTTGCATGGAGAGAACTAAAGCACATAGCATTGATTGAAGGCGCCCACAGGCGCGCCGTGCACTCCACCCAGCGCGAGTCACATTCTCATCCACTCCCTAAGGCTACAGCTATTGAGTTTATTCCTGATCCCTACGCTAGCAGCCTATCTCTTTCACTGAACCTAATACCTCCCTCGTCGAGCTTACTCAATGCAGATTACTCAATGCACGCTCGACCGTACTCGGAGGAAGGGAAGAGGAGGGAAGGGGAGGTGGGGGTTGGGTGAAGATTTTCGCAACCCCTCGGTAGACCGGTTACAAGGCTTCTGTCAACCAAAGGGTGAGAGCGTAGCTGGAAAAGCACACACTTTGTGTCTTATTGGGACTAAGCCTTTTGAAGAAGATAAAGAAAGAGGAGATGCTGTGATAGTGTGCACTTGTGAGAGCTCCCAGACATCACTACAAAACGCTGAACCGCCAAGGCTCACGGTTGACAGATGTCCTGAGACCCGGTGGGGTTGACCATGTCCTCACTTTAAAATGTGTTGTACGTATAAGGCAGTATAAACGTCTGAATGACGACACAGTGGGACACAATGAGCGACTGAAGCTGGTTGCTGCTTTCTGCTTCTCGATTTTTTTTTACTTTATACGCAACATGCAATTTATCGCTGTTTTCGTAGGTTCTGTGTTGTATAGGGTCTGATGTATCAGCTTTTATGAGAGTTTGGTGAAGGCAGATTCACATTTCCGCATCTAGTGCCTTCAATGGATGAAGCGCTGGCTTGCAACCAACAAATGTTTGACATGAGTGGTTAAAGGCAAATTCCGGCTATCTCTGGCAATATTTGGTTTCCCTCGTTAAAAAATATCATAACGCGAGCAGACCATCGGTGGCCAGAAGTGCGAGGACCGATTTTGATAAGGTTGGCGCTAGGAACCTAGGTAGGAGCATTTGCGCCGTCCCAACCCCATTGAGCCCGCCCACCGTCCTACGTGATCTTCCAAGCAACAACCACCTAGGACGCTAGATGTTGAGCCGTTGTTTGGAAAGTCGTAGGGGAATACTTAGCGGATTTCAACTGCGAGAATCAATATCAAAGCCTATGTTACGACCATTTTTCGAGAACGTTGTCATCATTCTAGTGAGAAAAAATTTTAAGATAGGAAGCAAACAAAAAAAGCACAAAAATAGAAAAAATAGGGAAACTAGAAAAAATCAGTTTTCATTGCTGACTTTTTGTGGCCGTGTCGGTTGATGGCACAAAGCCAACAGTTGCTGTAGACATGTCCAAACACGTAATTTTCCCAGCCCTGGTTCGTAAGCGACTAACGAAGAGGAATTTCTAATTTTGGAGTTCTTTGGAGGTATTTCCTGCTTTTTTCATTACCTTCGATCAACTTAGCACCCAGCTCTTCATACTCGAACAGGTGAGTCCCTCGTTTTATCCCGGAGTTTGCCTTTAAACGAATAAAAGGCAACCCAGCTAGAGTACCATCTTTGTTGACTGCTACATGTCCCATTCGCTGCATATTTATTGATCACGATCACGACAAGAATAGAATCACAGTTGCTCCATGGTGTTATCGATTAGATGATGGCGCAACTAAGGCAGCCTGGAGAGCTGCTGCGCCTAGGCTTTTGCCATTTAGCGTCCATAGTTCGATATGGCATGACCAGTTCCTCCGGAGTAGCCTCCAGTTCCTGCAGAAAACTCGGGCGCGGGGGCATTCGCTCCCACTGAGTGAGCCGCGGGCGATCCGACCACTTGCTGGAACACGCAGGAATACTCAGATTACCAACTCTATGTACACAAAATGAGAGATTGCACAAACCTTCTTCTGTTCTCTGTCAGGGCAGGGGCAGTACGTAGCATCAGCTCCAATCTTTCCTGGGAGCCCTGGAGTACCTTCTTCTCCGGGGCGACCACCAGCGCCTTGGAATCCGGGTGTGCCATCTGGTCCCGCTGGTCCCGGCTGACCAACAGCGCCTTCTTTACCTGGTTCTCCAGTCTCTCCTGGTTCACCACTCTCGCCCGTATTTCCGCGCGGTCCCTTGCGTGGGATAATTTGTTCGGTGTCTTGGCCCTAAATTTTACAAAATAAATTCACATTGGTAATATGGGGTCCGAATCGTTTTTGGATACTTGCCTTCTCTCCGTTTGGTCCTGGTGGCCCATCAGTACCAGGCGGTCCTGGCGGTCCCATTTCACCGGGGCTTCCTGGGTTTCCGTCACTGCCAGGCGTTCCCGGGGTGCCTCTCTGGCCGCGCATGCCACGGATACCCTGAAAACAAAATCAGTGTCGGCTCAACAAACGATGAAATAAAAAATCAACGTACCGGTTTGCCACGTTCACCCGCGATTCCCGGTTTGCCCGTTGGACATTGGATGCAGCCAATGAACGGCGCGTTTTGCCAGTCGTCGGCATCCTCACCCTGAAAAGATGCTCCGCAGTAATTGATGAAAACTGGATTTGAAAAGGAGATGCCGACTTACCGGGAAGCCATCTATACCGTCGTGACCGGGTACACCGTCTGGTCCTTGAACACCTTCCGGTCCAGCTGGTCCAGGTGGGCAACCTCCTGTGCCGAGGTCGTCGTCTTCGTAGCCAGCGTAAGAGTTACTGCAACCAACACCACCACTGCCTCCACTACCTCCTGGACCGCAGTCTGTGCCACCGCTTCCACCGCTGTCACCACTTCCACCGCTTCCTCCGCTTCCTCCGCTTCCACCGAATCCACCACTTCCTCCGGTTCCTCCGGTTCCTCCGGTTCCTCCGGTTCCTCCGGTTCCTCCGGTTCCTCCGCTTCCGCCGCTTCCACCACTTCCGCCGCTTCCTCCGCTTCCTCCACTTCCACCTCTACCTCTGCTTCCTGCTCTGCCGCTAGCACTTGCCGCACTCGAGAAGCACGCTAAATTACATGATATAATACACATTTATCGAAGGCTTTTATAAAATGGACATTTTTAGGTCGATTTCGATCATCTCAACCTAAGGAACCATTCAATACTTATCCTCCTCATTGCCGTTGATTCGCAAACTATAAATGCGGGTTGTAATTAGCTGCAGATTGCAGCAGCAAACAAGGTACAGCAAAATGACTTTCCGGTATGCGCCTTATACTTTGATTCCACTTGAAATCGCGGGCACTTGAGTGCGAATTAAGGGATACAATGAGTCAGTCAATATATCAAGGTTAGGCCCTTCCAGATAATTTCTAGTTCAACCAAGGGAAGAGAAGTCGGATTTAGTCGCAAACAGGTGATTGAACGCGATGACTTTTCTCTTCAGAATAGCTACTGTGATGAGAGCCCTCCTTCGCTTCAAGCTTCTCGTGGAACCGATTCTCAGTAAGGTTGTTTGGGTTCACATGAGACTGTATGGAGGAAAAAGAAATTAGGATAGGCGAAACATCAAAGAATGCCGGCAAAAAAGTGAAAACGCGATAGGAATCAAGCTCAATTCCAGAGTTCATTTGACGCATTGGGTGCACGATTATGGGAATTTCATACCACAGAAAGGCTCTGCCTTTGCTATGACAGATAGCACTACGGTCAAAAAATGAAACATGGTGGATGTCTTGGTGATTTGATCGGAGCAACTGAAGTACGCCAAGCGTCCGCATTTTCATTTAGAACAAATATTTACCATTGGCGACATGTTGAGAAACAATACCGATGTCACCCGGTCGATTACGCACATCCGTCACCTCCGACGTAAATGCCGACACAGACACGTGTCGCACTTCAACACGGTCTCATTTAGTGACAGGGCTTGATTATTAATTAGGTTGGCGATATACGGCCGTTCACGGCAAAAGATCTTGTCAATGAGTAGCACGAAGGAAACATTTATAAGTGGGTTAGCTATAATCGTTGGAATATTTGCGGTGACTAGGCCATGTTCAAACAAAAGCAGCCATAAAGCTTGGCATGGCTCTACAACTTGGCAATGATATTTCCAGCCGGATTGGAAGCCCACTAGACCGAAAGTTTCAAGCATCCCCGCTTAGAAATGTTCGGGTTCGACCCCTGGAATGGCAAGACTGCGTGTCAAGTCGGTGGTTTTGCTCTCCCATTACCCATATTCCTCCCTATATTCCGTCCATTCGCCTAGATCAACGGCTACCAACGTCACGCTTGAGGCAAAACAGAGACAGAACAGCCTCCCCCTGCCTTTCTTTTTGATGCTATCGGGGTCCAACATCGGTCGTACAGGTGCATATTTTCGGCTAATATTGTAAAAGATAGCGGAAACGGCAAGCTGGTTCAAAGATTCATCTCTCGCCCGGGTGAGGCGAGTGAGTATATTATATTATGCTAGCGCTGTCGGTCAAAGAGTTAATCGTCGTAATTCACGAGACAAGGATGTGTGAACTCTCTAAGTGGTGTCAATATAATCTAGCAGGATACACATAGTTCTCCTTAGCCATCTACTTAATGTTCCGCTCTCAAACAAACATTACCCCCATCCAACAAAAACTTGTTTTGAACAAATGTCCTCTACTGTGTTTTTATGTGCAAAAACAAAGCATGACCCAGAATGATGCCGGAGGTGCGTCGGGAAACCTTAGGTGTGGTTTCTCACTTTCTCTCTTAGTGAATACTTCGAATTTTTAAGTAAAGATCTCGGCTCGATTTCTTCCAGAACATCGCGCGGAGTATTAGAGAGTATGAAAAGAAAGGGCGGTTGCAGCATCGAGTCAGTGGTTTTCTCTCTCGTTAACCACGATCCCTAATTATTAGCAATGACGGTAGGGGCCACCCAGTCATCTAGAAGTGATTTAGGGATGAGGGCACGATCAACGTGTATGGGCGGGGATTGATGTTCTAGAAATGTTGAGAAGCTACCATGTTAGACACTGGTCTGTACGACCGGTACGGCAACACAGTTTGATGCGGTTGCTCGCTCTAGAATTAAAATCCGCATTGTGCTCTTACTCACAAAAAAAATCCATTCGACTATCGATGTTCGTTCATTTTAGTATAAGGCGACAGCCTTTTGCTGTTTCGTTGCGACCCAATCGAGGCAGTTTTCCCTCCATTCAAATTTTTGAATGAAAAAATCAATATTTAAAGGCTAAAGCAGGTCGCGACCCCGGAAAAATCTGTTAGAACGATGCTAGATAAGGGGGTTGCTTGTGATCTAGATAGCGTCACACACAGAAACCTTATGCAATTTGGCGTATTTCGTAACATGGGTGGGTGTGCTGGTAGGAGAAGAGCTAAATGTTTTGCGAGACGGTGCGATTCACAGCTATCCTAACACCGATTGTGAAATAGTCTGTAGTGATGCATGTAACTCATAAAGTGAATTTTATCCTCTACGTATTCGTTTGCTCCATTGGGGACCGGAGCTACGGCTTACATTCTTCCCTGGATCTTCGGTTCCTACCAAACTCTGTAGCGACCCTCGCACTTTCGCACATGCAACTTGACACGGGCGTGTTACAGTCTGTGTCACTTTCAAGATCTTTAACAATGGACATTATGCGCTTTTAGGCATGTTGTCCACAACCTCTGTGGTCAGTCTTTGCATACCGAAGTCCACGAGGAGACCGTCTGGCACTAATCGAGCCGTCAGCGCATTAAATTTGTACTTTCACGGATCGGAGGCCCCATTTGCGCCGAAACCTCAGAAACACTGGCCTTATAAAGCATTGGAAGAGGGCATGTGTCATTTCAACTCTATACAAATGCCTCCAGAAATCATGAGTTTGAACCCTCATACTCTTGTTACATAACCCATAACTCACGTTAGTTATAATACCTAATACTGAAAGAGCTATTCCGAGAGCTGTTACTTGAGCGAATGCACACTGGAAAGATGTACAAGGGGGGGGGGGGGAATTGGTCTCACATGGTAAAACAATAAGGATAAAGGATAAAGCATTTGCCGTTGATCAATCCCTTTTTGGGATGCGGCACGCATTCTACTTCCATTTGTACATTCGTAGTGGCGTTTGAATGCGATGTGGCCTATACAATGACTTGCGGGGGCCAGCCGATGTACAAGTCAGTGTTTTTATCCTCCCAGACAAGTCTGGTACCAATTAACCGACCCCGGAGGGATGGAAGGCTTGGTTGGCCCGGGCGACTCACGACCCAGGATTTGATCCCCGGACCGCTCGCGTGGTAAGCGTGCCACTTGCCACTACACCACTTCCGCCTTCTACATGGTAAAAGAGGGTGGAATAAATGATCCCACAGCGAAAAAAGGATAACGTGTACTCACCACAGACCGGTCCAGCGTTTACTCCTTGAGCTTCGTAGGCTCCATATTGGTCTTTTCCTTGACGTCTTTGACGAGTGGATGGTGTGGCAGCGCCGAGACCAAGCATTTGCGTCCAGATATCATCGGTTTGGACCTGCAAGGGTCGCAATACCATTAGAGAGACAGGATGTAAATGGGTTGCCATTTTTGGCAAATCTCAATATTTCTTTGAAAGCTTAATATTTGTGCTGGATGAACGGGTTAACAAATGCTGTTATCACTCTAATAGCCATCATATCCCCTTTTTTACCACACGTATTGTCAGCCATCTAGCGATAAAGGGTTCTTGACGTGCCAGCAGGAAGGTCCTGGTGGGTTATTAGGATAACGGGTTATAATGAGTCTTGGTGTTTTGAGCATCATCTAAGTTTTCACGTTCCCACCCGGATACATCAGCCCGACCGAGTTGTTTTTATACCTGCACGGGCAAATAAAATTACATGAATTCAAGTAGGCTATATTTTATTTCGTGGTACGGCTTAAGGAAAAGGCTTAATATGTCACTGGCCCTCCAAATCTTTCTTTGAAGACACGACGCATCTGTCTAAGAAAGAATAAGGGGAGAAACAAAGAGCCTCGATGGAGGGAAGACCTCGATCGGGTGAAAGTCACTAGAGATAACTCACTTTGAACTCGACCATTTGTTCGTCGAGCTGCATCCAAATACCGCGAACATCGGTGTAGATGTTGTAGATGGAATAGAGTGAGACGAGTAAAGTGAAGGTGGACAAACACAGCGCACCCGCTGTCGCTTTCGAGACGCTCATCCCGTAACGCTGAGAGGGTTCTGGAGCGAGTTGACCGAGTCGCGGCCGCCTTTTGTAGTCGCCGGCTGACCCCCGTCGAACAGCATTGTGGCGACGCTAACTGGTTACCGCGTCCGCGTTCAGTCTCATCGCTTATCGACGTCGTTTTCTCGATTCCATGAATCACTTATCACTAGAGAAAGTTGTGACAGCACCACAACAACGATTCTAAATTGCGCCTTAAGGTGGTCCAGCCCTCGAAATGACTCTGAAACCCAAGTGAGTCCACAGCTGACTGCACATGTATAGCCTAACTGCAAATTATATGAACCTCGCGTGCGTCTGGTTAAGGTGCGAATGGGGAGCAGAGGTGTCATATTAGTATAACTGGGTGTGAAGAAAAAAACTAAGTGCAAGTCGAAAACTCGAGAAACAGCTGCCTCTTCTAGTTACTTGATTTTTAAGGCCCTTGGAAAAAAAATACCTCTCGTACCTCGAGAGACGGCAGGTCTAGATTTCACTGGACACTTTTTTGCCCTTTATACCTTTGTGAGAGCGTTTTGCCGTACAGGCTCTACATATTGCCTACTTGAACCCAGCTCTCCCCTCTCCACTACCCACCTTTCTCTTTCATGAACATAAATTGTGTCGAAAGATTGCATTAATCACAGAAGGCTGTGAACATTAGATCCATCGCCCTGGAGCAAGATTAGTTCCATCGACAGGTCAGACGAAGGTTTCGCCTAGTTTCAACGAACACCACAACCGCCACTACTCGACCGCCACTATTCGACAGAAGCTAAAGGCATCGTCGAGCACCCATCCCCACACTTGACTCCATTTCCTCTGAAGAATCGGTCGGGTGACACTAGAGTTTCAGAGCAACAACAGAAACAGTAAAAATCGCACTTTTATTAAAGGCATGCCCCAGGATCACATTGGTGTGGCTCTTGCACACGAATGCGAATGTATTGGTGCGAAGTGGGCCGGCAGTAAAGAAAAAAGGAAAAGAATCCGTCGAAAACGCTTAGGTTAAGGGCTCACTCACCTTCCTAATCGGCTGTGCTAAGGGAATGAGAGACTAAGCGCGGAGAGGAGAGTATGAGGCGAGAGAGCGCTACAGATGAGAGAGCGCCAGACAACAGCCTGATAAGAGAAAAAATCTGCAGCTTCAGCAGCTTACTTTGCAAGGCCCAAGCGCTCTTGTCGGTTGGTTTCCGTGCACGGAACGCCACATTTGTGATTGTCCTCTAGGGGTCTATACTACAGACCGAAGGAGAAGCGTTCACACGACCTCTGCCTGGGTTGTGCCTTTAAGTAGGCCGAATAGAATATGTGTTTTACGCGTTAATTGCAGCCACACCTGTCCGCTTCGATAACATTCCCTTTTGAATGGTTCGGTGTTCGGCCATACTTACGGAGAAAATTTAACACAAAACTAACAAAGGAGAAATTTTCCTCAGAGATTGGTAAGCTAGAATAAGTCTAGCATTATTTTTCGCGGGTAAAGTGATCTCAACACCACTACACGCGTTGCTTGGCTAACATGATGAGCCATTGTTCTCAGCGATCCGTTAGATAAGTTGCAGTCCATTTATGAGATAGTTAGAGCAAGATATGGTTATAATATTTTCGAACACTCTGAATATCTGATCCTTTATCTTTTAGTGAGAATTACGTAGACAGCTCGACTATGAATTACATACCCAGCAAAGCATCACGTTTCTAAAAGGAGAGGTCATTCCGACCATTCAAAATTAGATCTAGACCTATATACGTGCCTCGGAAGCCTGAGTTCAAACCATCTCTCGTTATTGTAGAAGGAAGAAGTTGTGAAGTAGGAAAGCGCAACGGTATAACCCTGGCTCACGGGGAAGAGCTCGTGAGATAGGCTCCACTGCGAGTCCATACTTTTGCTCTTTTCAGAAATCTTTCAAAAATCTTTCTAGCTCATTTCTAAACCAAAGCACGTCGAAGTCGATCCCACGTCTTGCCTCTTATCGTTAGGGACCCTCACCACCACTGCGTT